TTCAGCATAGGACCTGTGAGTGCACACGTTTGATCTCCTAAAAACATGAGCTGTTCAGAGCTGGGCCAACTGAAGACAACTGCGGGGAAGATCTGGGTTCAACTACAGCTCTAGCTGAGATCTGCTGTGTCACCTCTGGCAAGTCACTGAGGCTCTTGATTCACGGATTTCGGGGCCCAAATGCCTTTGGAGATATGGGCTATGATTGATCTGTGCCTCATTTCCCAAAGTGTAAACCAGAGAAGGCTGGAATCTTCCCAACCTTGTTACACATGGTGGTACTGAAGGATGACGGTGTTAAAGATTACACCAGACGCTGGGACCAGCGAAGTACCATAGGTCATGAAGATGGGAAAAAAGCATTTCAAGGGAAGCCACCCTCATGATGCCACCCTCAAACCCAGGTGAAATCACCACCAGAGAGAGATCAACCCTTTTCTAATCCTGGGTAATTCCTGCCCAAGACAGCAACCCTGTCCTCTGCACAATCACCACAGTGCACTTACACTCAAGCCTTTGCCTTCAGGTTCCTTGTCTTTAGGGCAGGTCCATTTACATAGCAATGACCTTGGACCAGTTACAAAAACCTTGGCCCAAGAGCACAATAAATGTATTTAAGTCTATAAACATATACCCTGAAATAACCATAAAAATCACTTTCCAGTGCGTGTTTTAAAATACTACCAAAGAGGGGTTAAAACAGAGGAGGGCTTGAGGCCACCAGTGTCCCACACATTACAACATAATATATGTGAGCACAAGGTTAAACAGCCATGCCCATGTGTAGGGTGCATGAAAAACTGGCAAGTGGAAGATTAATTGCCTGCATGAATGCTATTATTCCAACCAGCAGCAAGAATAAGAAAGAACGTGGCAGTGAAGTTGACAAAGGCAGTTTTTATACTTGTACGTTTCCTTTCCCAAATTCAGGCTGTAAAACAATTCTGGAGTGACTGTTCATCTCCTTCTCCAGGCAGTGCTCAGGCTGCTTCTCCTCACACATACCTGCTCTTTGTTTCCCCAGCCAGTGGCAGTGGGAAGTGATAAACCTCACGTGCCAGATCCTGGGTATCCCACATCTGCACCACCAACACACAGGGAGATTCAGGTGAGTTCATTGCTGGTGGTTCATTGCACTATTTTAAGGACTCTTTGCACAGCCAGGGTAGTGTAAAATAGCTTCAGTGTAGAGGAGAATCAGGCCTCAAACGTATTTCGAGGCTGCATTAGCAGATTAAACAGAAAACAGTCAAGTATTACAGTGATACACAGACTCTTCTGCCCCAGTGACAAAGGGCTTGTGCAGTTCATCAGGAGGTGTGAGAACTGGCACAGCCAAGGAAGAACTAGAACTACACCACCCTACAGCAGCCCCACAGCTTCTGCCACCCACATCTGCACTGGCATTTACTGGCATTTCCCAGGTATCTACCTGCCACTGTAGCCACAGGCAGGACTCAAGGGGAATGTTCTGCCACCTCTGTTTCTACAACCTTTTTATACATACAGCTGAGCAACACACTAAAACTTCTCACACCACAACACAGAACACCCTGTTGTTCAGATGTGTATGTATTTTGAGGTCATGCCTTTACAGTGCCTGACCACAAAAAGAAAGCAAATGGCTCAGAGCATGATCACATCCCTTTGAAGTGTATACTTGCATTTTCAATCTAGTTATTCACACTTTCAAACAATAAAATTACCTTCTTCTGTCACAAAGGAAAGCTGTTCTCATTACTGCTTCCCTCATGCGTACAGGCCTGGTCCTTTCTTTTTAATTCACCTGCAGTCTAAAGCAGATGTTGAATTCTTCTTGCCTTGTCCATACACTGTGTGCTGCTACAGAGGTATTATGGCCCATGGCAAGTGCAGAGACATTTTAAACAGGGATCTGAAGTGACCCCTAGAGAGTGGCTACGATTTAAAAAATGACTTGAGAGCTGCAAGTATCTTCATTTTGGGAGAGTTGAACCAAAACACCTCTAGAGGCTTCATTTTCAGACACTGGCCACTCCAGGATTTTGAATATGTTTTATATCTGGATGCAAATACAAATGGTGTAAAGTAGGGAGGAAAGGAAGGAAGCTAAAGCTAAGTAATGCCCAGGTCTTCACTGTGCAGAGCAAGAACGCCCACCAAATATACAAGTGCTGCTGCGAAGAGGAGGCAAGAATCTGTTCCTAACAGGCCTAAATTACAGCAGAGGGAAATTTAAGCTCAACATTAGGACTAAACATGCTAAAGCACATCTTGTGCGGAGGAAGCTGCAGAGATACTGCATAAGGAAGACTGTAACACCTGCAATAGCAAAGGTAAGGCATGTTCTTTGTGTTACAGGTATGCAGCAGGCATTTGGGCACACAGTGAGAGCAGCTTACACTTCTATTTGTGTATCTGAAACTAAAGCTTTCCTACATAGGTTAAAAAATCAAATACTACTATTACTAAACCACTGGTTTTTACAGGCATTCCTCAACAGCAGAGCTCTGTTGCGCAGAAGAGGCATCAGAGCCCCAGAAACACAGAGAGACCTGTTCAAGGTCATCCACGAAGCCACTGGCAGAACCAGGAATACAACCTGCCCACTTGATTCCCACACGGCCCCATCCAGGCGCAGGGTTTGCTTGAAACCCTGATCTTGGCAGAAGGGGACACAGCTGCCCACAGGACGTGACCCTCAGGCACACTCGCTAGTGTGAGAACACATCAACTGACAGTCTCACTCGAGATGGACAAATCAGCGTCAGGAGATGAGCGACTCAAATGCCATGAAGAGGAAGTATGGCGGGCCTCCAAAGCGACTAATAAACTTAATGTAAGAACTAAGTTCCTGCAGTCAGACAATAAGCAGCAGCAGCTGCTGCCACCAAAGTCTCTGTAAAGCATGCAAGCACCGTAATAACCCGCTCGACGTGGAGAGAAGCCCCAGGAGACATTTTCAGTAAACCAAATGTCAACCACTCTGTCCCTACCACAACGATAACTGTGTCGACACAGCAGAACGTAGATGGCATCCTATTAGCTGTAATAGCTTCTGAGGGTCAGGCAGGCTTCGTGCAGCTCGTGGTGGACTCAAGGTGCCTCCTGAGAGGAGTTAAGACAAGGGTTATGAAGATGGCAGGCAGATGAAGTGTAGCTGAGGCCCAAGGAGGCTGTTGTGCACAACAACTCCACCGTCCCAGCTGCTTCAATGCGCTTCACGTTTGCTGGAGGATTCTGGCTTACAGAATGCATTTTCTATGCAACTTCTGGAACACAAGTGAATGCAATGGACTGTGAAGGAGGAGGCAATGTCACCTCTGGGGACAGCAAACACGGTGTAACGCTATTAGCATCAGTCTCACTGGGTTTTTTACACCTTCCTCCCCTCCATGCACACCCAGTTACAAGCTAAGTGTGCCTCTATTCTGAGGACAGAGCTGCCTGCCTAACCTGTAGGACAGTGCAATATATAGTGTACACAATGACAGACACGCTCATCTCATTCAAAATTCTCAAAGCATGAGTAGTAACCACTCAACTGGACATAATACTAAGATAGAGAAATATCAGAGTTACGTATATGATGAATGAATACGGTCTGAACTGGTTCTTCCAGCAGACACACATATGCCAACTGCTAATCACCCTCAGACAAAAAGATGTGGGGAACGAGCAGCACATCCCAGAACCATTTCTACAGGATGGTATGACTCTGCTAGGAACGTCTGTCTGTCCTGCCCCATGTTTTACTTGGGGCTACCCAAAACAGCTAAGACACCAGCTCCATACAGGTAAGTAGGTCCTGGCCAACTGGGATGCACTGGGCCTAGCTCAGGCCCCGAGTATCAGAAACAAAAATACACTTGATTTATTTGCCAAACAGACAAAAGTGTGTGTCTAATCTCACACTGCCCGAGGCACTTGTGTCCTTCAATTCCTATAATCCAGATAAGGGGGTGGAAGAACTGACCGCTTTAAATGGCTGGAGGCGTAGCTTTCACCCTACATATGCACATTTATTTTCAAGGCAAGAGGATTTAGACACTATTCAGGAATCAGAGCAGTTTTCTCACTTGAAAAAAAGAAATAAAGAGTAAAGAACTATGAGAAAGATTCATGATGAAAGAGCACAGGCTGTATTATGAACATAAAACATCTTAGTGCCAGCTTAGTGGAGAGCTCTCATCCAGAAGCCTGTGCAATACCCCAAAAGGCAACAGCCTAAGAACAGCAGGTATGTGGTTGCTATTTCATAAACAGACAGATGACATCTCTCTCTCTCTCTCACAAAGCACAAACATGTTCCACAACCCAGGGGAAAGATGTTTCTCAAGCCTCTACATCCATTCACTGGAAAAATAATCCCACCTCCTTCCCACGAAAAGCTCAGCATTTCCAGCTTTAGGTTAAACATGTAACACCAAAGAAATATGGGTGTAGATGCAGAAAAGCTGTATGGTTACTATGCACAAAACTTCACTGATATTTGCTTTACTAATGAGCACATTAAAACATTATAGTCTTCCAATAAAATTCCTTGCTGTTTAAATAGACAAAACACAAGCAACATTTAGGTCTTGAGTGGATCTTCAGTGAACTAGTCCAGTTATTAACTGATCTATTGAAATGCATACTGAACACATCTAAACCAGTTGCCATTTGTTAAAAGACAAGTTCTCTTTAAGTGTGGGTTATACCTGAAGGTATCATATAATCCAGTTGTCTATGTCCTAAATAATTCCCTAAAATGAGACTTCAAAATCAGATGAGTTTTAAATCAGGAATCAAAATGTAGATGCTGAGATTTATGGGAAGTTCTTGTTTGGTGTCACAGTAATTACAGAGTGAAAGCTCAGCCAGAATGCCTGGGCAGATGTGACCAAGACACCCAGGCTATGATGCCAGTGACAAATGGTTAACTGATAAGAAGAAATGGAGGGGCGACAGACTGAAGAACAGGTCAATATCATGCTGTCATGAAGCCATTTGAGAAACATAATTAATCTATTACTCACCTGGCATCATCATTCATTGTACAGTGGTCAATAGGTGCCATGAAGCTCACCAGCTTGCTATGGACATGATACCTGAATAGTGCAGGAAATAAGCAGGCAGCACATTAGCAACTATTAATGAAAAGGAAATGTTGCTGCATCAATAGAAACATACCAGCCCTGGCTTTCCTGGTCGCTGATACCTAATGAGTCAGTAGTTGTAGCTAGCAATTCCCCCTCTCTTCCCTCCTCCTTTCTTATAACATGGACACAAGAATAAGCAGATGATACAATGAACTGAATAGCAAGCAAATCCTTTTTTATCACAGCTAGAAAGAGGACAGACAGCACCCATTAATTGTGTGCAAGTACCTAATCAGGCTTCCAGACAGATAACCCTGAAAACGCAGAGACAGAGAAACAAGAACTTGTTTTCAGCCTTCCCTTCAGCTGGCATCTTAATCACCTTCTGGAGTTTGTGCCCAAAGAGCCCACTGCAGGCAGCAGAAGTGCCAGAGCATCAGACCTTCTCGAGCCTCCATCTGCTATCACTTTTTTCCTTGCTCTGTTGTATTTAGGGCCCTAAAGGATATCAAAAGTCCACTCTGCAAGCCATACCCACAGCTGGAAAGTCTTACCCTGAATAACTTATAAATGGAGCATGTAAAAACAAGCAAAGGAGACAGGAAAAAGACCTGTGCAAAGAACAGATGTGAGACAGTGATGTATTTGTCTCAACTTCTGATCCACCAAAGTATTTCTGCAAGCTGTACTGCACCTTCAGACACTGGCTCCCCTTCCTGCTCTCCACACTGAGCTAGGAAAGGAACCTGCAGTGGATTTCATGACTTACATTCAAGGACTTGGCATAAAATTTAAGAGAGGACTGAAAACTCAGAATGAAAAGGTGGCTTTAAAGCCCTAGGGTACAAGGGCAGGAGATTCCAAACCAGTGGCTTTTGGTGTACACTATGATGCTGCCCACCCAGGTCTGAAATGTTTTATCTGAGCTGCTGCTATTTTTAGAGCTTGACAAATAGCAGGCAAAAGGATTCACAAGCATTTGCCCAGAATCACCTTTCCACTCTGCCACCTCTGCACTCCCTTCTGTTTGCTTATGCAGGAACATTCCCTCGAGGGGATTTTTAGCTCACAAGACTATTTCAGAATGGCTCTTCAGGCACAGCACACGCTCACCCTTACGCAAGGGCTTCTCTGCACAATCAGGTCTTTGTCACTGGTAAAGGAGGGAACTGCCCTGGTCTAATCATGGTGATGGAGTCAGGGGACAGATGTAGCTGTGCAGGGCCAGTTCTGCAACAAACCCCAGGTCAACAGGCTGGACTATCAGATAGTTCTGCTTATGAGACATTATCAAATGATGGATTCATACAGATCAAAGCTTATACAGGGACAGCAGAGCGGCAAAGGGACTTGGCAGCTCAGATGAATCCTCTGACATGAGTTTGTCTGCCCAGAACTCATTAATGGCACCTTTTTTTAAAGCAGCACTTCACAAATCCCAGCCGAGCAGATATAAACTACTTAATTTCATTCGCAGGAAGACATCCCACACTGCAGCAACACAATCACTGACGTGAAAAATAGTGTGCACACAGCACCCCTCCATGCCTACTCCAAGAAAAGGAGAGTCCTAGTGCGGGACAGCAGAGTTCCAGGCACTGGGTTGCTTAAGCTCAACTGGAGTTTTTGGATGATCTCACTTCCCCTCTTCCTGCCCCAGTTTCCCTGTCCATGGAGAGGACAGTTACTCACGTCAAATGGAAGATGACTGCTTTTCAAAGCACTTGAAGATCCTCGGACCCTAATAAATTAGCACATTTCATCCACACATGCTCTAATATTGAAGGTTTGCTAAAGGACTGCTAAAAAGGAAGAATTATGGAGACAGAGGAAACTTAGTATTAAATACTTTACTCTCCAGGATCTCCAAGTCCTTCATGAAAACAAATCTAAGCACCGTTGCCCAATTTTAGTGAGGGAAAAAGAAGAATTGAGAAGTGATCTGCTTGGGGTGACACACAGAGTCTCTCAGTGGAAGAACCAACTTTAGGCTCTAGTGGACTATTCTGAGGAGATGCTGGAGCTTCTGTGCATGTTAATCCTAAACACAGACAATGGCACTTTTTTCTGTTATTGATATTTTCCCTGCAGGGTCAGTGCAACTTTTATTTAAAGAAGCAAAAGAAAAAAGGCACCTAAGATCTAAGAGGCAATTGACTTGGCGAGATAGCTGATCTCTCAGGAATGCTGAAGCACACAGATTGCACACAATGAGAGACTTCCCCATTATTCCTGGAGGTTTACGAGTCTGACTCAGTTGTGCGATGTTGTCAGTAGTTTTGACTGAATCATGAATATATCCAATTATGTGTGATGCTGACAGAAAAGAATATTGATAGTCAATAATTATAGGCTTTTCAGGCCAACAAAGTAGCTCTTCCCTCTTTCAATAAATTATCCTATGACATCTCTCTTAAAAATTGCTATGCCAGGCCTGACCCAGACTGACTCCACTGACTTTCTATCAGATGCCATCTAAACTCAGGATTTATAGTTTACTCACAAAAGGATGGTTAATGTTGCGGGTTTTGCAGGAACCGGTGCAGCTTTTCTGCTGCCTCCCTGCCACAGCCACCTCCTCCACCACAAATCATGCAGTCATGCTAAACTCAGGGAGACTAATGTATCTGCTTTGCAGAGAGGGAAAAAACCCAACCTATCCTCTCCAGGCTGCTCCCCTTCCCGCCCTAACACATGGAAGATTCTTCCATTGGAAACACAAGGGGAGAGTTCAACCCGAATTAGTGATCCGGGAGTCAGGATGTGAAATAAGCTGAAGAAAGCTGTGATGTGGCTGAGACATTAAAGAGAAATTAGTCACCAAATTCCAACTGACAGACAGTGGGAAATAGGCATCTACCTCACCAAGGCATTTCTATACATCTTCCCCTAGAGCTGCTATCCACATTTCAGTCAGCTAAATATATATTGCACAAGAGGTGTTTATTGGCTTTCATGGGGAATTTTGGCCCCAAATCACCTGGGGACATTTGAACACCTCTATTCAGCGCTTTCTGAGACCAATGAACACTCTTGCCAAGACTAATCTGGGCAATGGTCACAAGCTGCATCCAACCAAGCCCTTATTCTAGGCTCAAAGAACATTAAGATTCCCCAGTGGATGCCCCAGAGGAAGACATCTTGCCCTAAAAGGCACAAATAAGCTTCCCAGCACACCTGGTGCAGTCAGACTTCATTTGGCAAAATCACAACTCCTGTTTGCTTGCAGAAGCTGGCACCCACCTGATTCTCCTTCCTTTACTGGCTTTTCTGTCCACCTTCTTCTTTATTTTGCTTCGTAACTTCTGGATGGCCAGCCACTGCCTGGGGAATGCCAAACAGTTACACAGCTGAAGAGCCACGAGGAAAATGAGCATTAGGTACCCCAGGGCCTGAGGCCCTTCCCAGCCCTGCTGCCTATTGCATTTATACAAGTGAGGGAGATCAGCACCTCAGGAAAACAACTGTGAAATTCCAAATGCCTGTGAAGCTGCTTCGCTCCATGGATGTGGCATCTAAACAGTAAGTAATAAAATAAGGCAATAAACCCTTTGAGAAAGTGCTGTCTGATCCCTGCCTGTATTGAGAAGGGAAAGCCCCAACTTCTCAGACAGAACTTCATCAAATCAAAGAAGTTTTCAGCAGGGACAAACTTCTCCCAGTTATAAATATTTCTTTACAGGAACGAGCGTCATTTTACCTGATTTATACAATGAAAACTCAACATCAGGGGAAAAAATCTAGCAAAATCCAATTACTGCAATCTTAATATAATCTTAATTACTGTAATCTATTTTATTGTAAAGTCAGATAAATGTACAATGTAATCACCACTTAAATGTAATTTTGTCTATATCATGTTAAATTATAGTGAAGAGCTTTCCATAATATTCCAGACATACACAAAATAAATTTGACACATTGCACTAAAATTTGGGTAATATTTTACAAGGATAAAAGTTATTTCACCATCACAAAATTTCCTAATGCATTTTCTTCCCCTCCCCATACAGATACCCCATAGCACTTCTGCAGTGGAGAGCCTTACTCTGCTTTTCTACTTCTCTAAATTAAAGCCTATGGCTATTTAAGTGTACCCTGTTCATGAAGTGGTATTTGGAAGATTCTTTCTTTTCTAACTATAGAATTAAACAGAGAAATAAGAGCTTCCCTGCATGGAATTGTATTTTACTTCTGCATGCAGGAAACATTCCCCATTTCTGTTTTAACTGGATAGTATCTTTTCTTACTGCACGGAGAGAGCATACACAGGAATTGCTTTAACTGAGCTCATGACAGAAGGTTTGCTCCTCTAAAACAACAAGTCAGAGCTCACAACGAGAACAGGCCCAACTTCAGCAGCAGGCAGTCGCTTTGTCTAGTTCCCCCTCGCTAGGGTCAGTTAAGACACCCCTCTATGGATCCCATTTGTGCTGCATGAACCACTGAGAGGCAGAAATACCCAACGTCTGGAATGAGCCTTTTACAACTGGAAGTATCTTCAGGGGATCACAGAGAAACCAGGGCACAGCTCGAAGGCTGGCAAACTTGGAGTCAGTGTGATCCATAACTAAGGAGTCTGTTACAGAGGATGACTTCCCTGACTGATGCTGTACTGGTTAAATTACTTGTTATGCAATTTCTTACATCCAGATGATGCTTTCTGCAGTCATTCAAAATATTACCTTCTACAATGAATGGTACTAGAAACCCACAAATAGTTCTGGACTGGAATGAAGTGCTGGGGTGAAGCTACTGATGTTACAGACAACTTGCTACTTACCTTCCCATTGCTACCTGGTCATTGGGGTCCAGTGAAGTGGTTTTACGTTCTATAAATTCCCGAAGGAGCTAGAAGAAAGACAACAATCCCATTGAAAAGCACAGAAAAGACATGTTAATGCAAACAGGCTCACAGGTTTCTCAAAAGACCTGTATGCCTCATTTCTTCAAACATTTCCTCTGCATGAAAAAGCTAACGGCGATGCTAAAAGTTTAGGTAACTGTAGATCATCCCCTCGTCCAAAAAGGTCCCCATAGAATATATGGCTGGAGCATAACACCAAAGGCCACTATAGAGAGTTTCTGCATGTAATTTCAGATGGATATAGGAGTAGTATAGAGTGGAATCCCTGGGGGCACTGCAAAGCCTGCCCTGGGGCTGTCAGATGGGCCAGTCGTTGGGTAACTGCTGGTCCCAGAAGCCCAGAGCAAAGTGCACAATCCCACAGAGGGCAAATGGGTGAAAAGCTTAGGGGGATGATGGTACTGTTCCTTGGGCTTTGGAAGGATAAAAAGGGCCTGAAAGTTCACAGTCTGTTGTGTACAAAACTCCCATGGGCAAGAGATGTAAGGCAGGAAGATGTGCAGAAAGACCTCTGCCCCACAGCTCTCACCCCACACTTTGAGTGGGGCGGGCAGTGGGGAACTGAAACATGTCACCAGACAGAACTCAAGCATTGCTGGGCAGCAATGCTCACTCCAAGGAACAGCAAAATAACTTTTATAGCTGGGGCAGGAACACTCAAGCAGACTCTTCTATTTCTTTTCATGTCCTGAGGGTTGGGGTTTGTATTTTTTGCTTCCTGCAGCCAAAGAATACTGTGAACAGTCTTTTTGGATACTTGACCGGTGCTATATGCTTATCACCACTCACTGTAAATTGTACGTGCTGTGCCTTGGGTATCAGCCAACATATTAACACAGAGAACAGAAATAAACCCTCCAAAACCAAGAGGCACAGACTTGCTTTCTTGAGGCTGACATTTCACTGACGAGTAAAGTTACTGCCACAGCTTAGAACCCAAACCGGAGTGCAGGTGATTCCAGAGGGATGCTAGAGAAGAAAGGATGAAAAGTGCTTTTCCCCCACCCTATGCTGCCCCACTGAGCACAGGTGAGGTCAAAAGCTGTCCCAGGCACAATGTTGCATGAGAAACTCACTGACTCCTGTGGTTTCTGATCATTTAAGTAGTATTGGAGTAAGGGAGGGAAAAGACCTGCACCCCACAAAAGAAAAATGCCATAAAGGTAGATGGCTCTCATTGTAGAAGACTATATTTGTACCTGTCCACTTCTTTCCTCTCCTTCATGGCATACATCATATTACCAAAATATTCAAGTATAATTAAAAACCTGCTATGACTTTTTTTCTACTTGCTTATTTTTGGAGGTTCTGACTGCAGCAATTACATTTAAACATTCCAGGAAGAGAAGCCACTGGTTTATTATCACTAGAAAACAGCAAGCTACTTCTCTGCCCTGTTTATCTGATTGATTCCCAACATCTTTCTGGCACACAATCTATCAGTTTATCTCTCCCACTTCATCACAGTCACTTCTGGCAGCTAAATACAAGATCCAAATCCAGTGTTACACAGACATACGACACAGTAAACCTGTGTAACACTGCCACTCTGTAAACAGCTGCCCTTAAGGCTAAGCAGAAATGGGATCTTGGTTCCTAGTCAATATTCTGTCAAAAGCAAGGTGGGAGGGAGGGTTTTAACAGCAGCAAGAAATGGTGCAGCAGGGCTTTAGCGTCTTCTTCCTGTACCAGCAACACGGTGTGTTTACTGTCCCCTCTTATCTTGCTTCCTTGGCACAATGCACAGCAAAACCCACTGAGTAGTAACAGCAGAGGCTAAGGCATGAGACGACAGTGCAGAGCCATCCCACGCTCCT